AATGCCTATAGCCGATTACATGCACACCATTAGCTCAATGAACAATTGTTTTTTTGTTTTTTTTTTGTTTTTTTAGAGACAGTTCCGCGGACGTTTGGGCAACAACTCACCTTTACCAGGGTATAGACGTCATGGCCACTGCCATACCACAGCACGTGACGGACGGTAAACAGGTCCACGTCCGTGCTCAAACAGCTGGTGGCCACAATGACGTCGCATTCACTTTGTTGCCACCGTGCCAGATGGTCCTTCTGCGCCATCTCTTCCAAGCCTGCATAGTAGGGCAAGGCTGCATAGCCGCGTGCGTGCAGCTGATCACACAACAGCTTCACCTCGGTCACCATGTCGCAAAAGACCATCATGTGCACACGCTCCTCATTCTCCTGACGCGTCATCCGCTGCCTGTCTACAAGACCTTGCACGTGCGACAAGAAGGCCCGCTGGTCGCCGTGATGCACACGCAGCTCCACATTGTGACGCATCGTTTCCAGGCGGTACAGTTTGCCCCCTGCTTGCTGGCCCAGTTGTCGAAAAAGCCGGCCACGCAGGCCCCGACTTGAGCCATCATATTCCGGTGGCTGGCACCAGAGATGAGCGTGTGCGCCTCGTCCATAACCACAGTGCGGATGCCCTGGAAGCAAGCACGTGCGTGCAGGGCGTCAGACCCTGCGCAAACAAACTTGTCAGTCGTGATGATAAGCACGTCCAGGCCAGCTGCTACCGGCGTCGAGGGGCCCAGCCACCTTCGTGCACTGTGGCCAGCCGCTTGCAGACGCCGCAGCAAATTGTCTGCCGAGGTCGCAAATGGCACAATCCACAGCACCGTGCCGGCATGCGGGTGACAACCCAGTTTGGGCATGGTACAAAGCGTCTTGTCCATGTCTAACGGCGCGACAACAATCAGCCAGCCATCCTCGGCCCGATGCTGGTCAATGGCCGCTGCCAGGTCCAATTGTTCTTGGCTTTTAAAGCCGTGGCCCCACGAGATGCGTGCCTGCTGGGCCAGCTGGGTCATGTAGGCCACATCATGCTCGGCTCGTGGATCCATGATGACGCGCCCGTCTGCTTCAAGCTTTGATGACCCGCTCCAGCTTATGGGGTGGCGAACATCTAAAGCTTCCTTGGCGGCTGTGAGCTCGGCCACGCTGCGCTTGCGGTCAAGACCCAAGAAGGCATGCCAGCTTTGTGAGGCCAGCTGATGCATCAGACGTGATGACATTTTGGCTTGCAATTGGTAGCTTGTTGCGGTAGCAAAGAAGTCTTTGGCCATGTTGCCCAAGGGCTGTGCCTGGGTGCGCATCAGGCTACCCAAAGTGCTCGCGGGGTCGGCAAAGAGCCGGTTTGTCACAAATGTTGTCATCCAAAAGGTAGCAGCGTGTCGCCACTTTGCCACTCCGAGCGTAGGCTGATGCAGGTAGGTGGCCATTTGTCGACGAAAGGCAGCGTAGATAGAGGCTGGGCTGAGCATGGTCTGCAGAGGCGCAATGTTGAAGAGCAAGTGGCTGTTGTTATAGTGGCGTTGAGCGTCTTGTACCTCGCGTCGCAAGGTCATGCCATCGTCGTGGCTCATGTGGTCTTCATCCTGCTCGTCCTCCAATAGATCCTCCTCTTCCTGATCATCGTCGTAGGTTCCACGCCCGCCATCGCGAGGGGTTTGAAGAGCGCCCCGCTTCTCCAGCCAGCTGGTTAGCATCTGCTCCAGAGGCTTGCACAAGAGCAAATACATGAAAATCAGCTTGCTGACTTCCTCGTCCATGTACCGATAGGCGTGCTGCTCATCTAGAGAGAGCCCGTGGGTTTTACCCAGACGGGTCAATATGGAAAGCTGCCTTTCAGCGAAAAACACGGCCCGTTGCCGACCCACGCCATTTTTGTAGGATAGCCCTTGATATACGGTTGCTTGAGGTGGCAGACCTAACAAAACGCCAAAGCCAATGCAAACAGATAAGAGTGGTACAATAAACATGCCAAGCTTCTCAAACAGAGTCTTTGCTCGATCGCAAGCGTACCTCCAGCCATGTGGGTGTAGGTGAGCGCCAGCTGGTTAAACTTGCCCACAAACAGAAGCCATTCCCGCACGCGGTCTTCTCGAAAGGTCAGCTCTTCATCAGCTCCTTCTGGCCCCAGCTCTGGGCAGATAAACTCTTGCCGCAAGCTCGGATTCTGGCCAATGTGATCAAATAGGGCCCGCTCAGCTGGGCTGCCACGGCCCACCCACCAATTCTTGACCCTGTTGGTCCGATCCTCCTTCGACCATAGCCGAGCATACTCGCCAATGTGTTGCTCTCGCAGACCAGATCCCAGCAAGAGATGGGTGTCTAAGACCTCCTTCATATCGTTGCGCATCTGCGCCAGGGCGGTCCCAATCTCTGTCACGTTGAGTTCAACGCCTTGACAAACGATGGTGTGCAGCGCCTCGTCCGTCGTGTCCCCGTCCGTTTGCACGTCAATATCCACTCCAACCTGTCCCTCGTTCGTGCTGGCAGAGCGAGCCGCCGTCATGCGCTGGCTCAAAAAATGCACCAGCCGTCCAGACTGTAGAAAAGGCCTGAGTTTACCCGCAGTGGCCCATCGCTGTGCCTTGCCAAACCGGAGCAAAAACAGCTTGAAAATGTAAATCAGGCCGGCCAGCGTTGTGGTCCAGCGCCGGATGTCCTGCAAGACACCGCCTCCCTTGGACACGGCCGTGCACAACAAAAACACGTTGACAAAGTGCACCTTGTCGTTGTCAAAGAGGCGTAGCTCTGCATTCACCAGCGCCAGCCACAGGGACGTCAGGGGCTCGACAAGATCCTTCCCGTTCAGTCCCGCATCCAGCGCCCCTTGCACGGCCAAGGCAGCTGTAGTTATGGCCTCCCCACGACTGGCAAGCACCTGGCTCAAAAAGCTGGATGGCTCGGGGGCTGGCATTGCGTCCAGTAGCAGTAAAAATTGCACCAAGCGCGCCCCAATGTTCAGGTATCTGCTCATCGTGTCAGGAGATACTTGGGGTAAGGATTGCGGCTGAACTTGAAACTCTTCATCTTCGAACAAAGACGCCACGGAAGCAGCCGCCAGACCGTGCTGGGACAATTGTTCGTGGGCCTCCCAGAAGAGCTCTTGCATGCCCGCCACAAGTGGTGCGGGTGGGGTGTCATGACCCAGCTTGAGGATTTGCTCTGGGGTCAACTCGTTCAGGATCAGCGTCATGCCCACGCTGTCGTAGAACGGATGCATCTGGTGAACGCCGTGCGGGCAGCGCTTATCCTCGGCCTCTGACGCCATGGCCTGGGTGCTTGAGATGAACTGCTTGAACCGCTGCTGTTCCTCCAGTTCCTCCTCGTTCTCGCTGACGTCGGCTGCCGAGGCGTCGTGGCTTTCTTCGACAATGACCTCGACACAGCGGGCTCCAGCACCACGCAACGGCTTTTGCAGCTTGACGCGTTGAGGCGGCTGGTTGGTACCGGGTTCACCAACATGCTGAGTGCGAAGGTGGTATTGTAGGCTTTTTTTGGTCGTAAAGCATGCCCGGCAAAGGGGACACTTCACGCCATCCAGAATGTGGATACCTTTCAAAGGCGCACGTGGCCCAGCTTCTGCCTCGGGGTCAAACGGTAGCTCCTCGGGCTGCAGTGGGCGCAGGAGTGCCATAGCTGCATCTACGTCCTCTTGGCTACAGCGTATGTGGTGCTTTTTGAGCAGATGATGGGGCACACTGCCGCTCAGGACATGGCCACAGTTCGTGCACACCGGTGTGGCGAATGCAGACGTAACAAGGCATCCAAGATTGGCCATGAACATCCGAGCCCCGGCCACGCCGTGCTGTTGGTCAAAGTTGACCACACGTTTCATTGTACGTAGTCGCCTATGTTTGCGACGACAGGGTATGCTGTCGACGGGTGGCGCTGAGTGTGCCCTTTGGACGTGATTGCGAAGGTATCCCGCCCGATCGTGACTGGACGTGCATCCTGGTGCTGGACAGTAAAATTTGGCATCCACTTGTCGCTCAACTCGGCACCTAACACCGTCAATAATGACGGTGGTGCTTTGTTGGTGCATCTACAATCAACGGACGTTCATGAGCATTCGTGCCTGATCTTGACACGGGCAAATAAGGCTTCTCACACACCTGGCGACAATGCTCATTTCTTGCGTGAGCGTTGGGAAAGGTTGCCGCGCACTGACGACAGGCAACTTGCCTGCCTTGCATGACTGAGCTGTCAATGTCCATCGTGGCCACGACAAGACCACTTGGTTATCTTGAAACGATGAGATGAAAGATGGTTCGTTCAGGGAACGCCAGGGCTGAATCACAGGGCAGCCTCGGGCAAGCAATCGCCAAAGCTTCGAAAAAAAAAAAAAAAAAAAAAAAAAATGACAAGAGACAGTGACAACGTCAAAACTTGTAGCGACAAGAAACTCATTCTTCACAAAACGCGAAACGGCTCAGACTCAAACAAATGATCATCGAAGTCGGTTCGGAACGTCTTGCTGGCTGGTTGTGATGAACAATATGACGGGCGCAGAGAGAGAGGGTCATCGTGGCATGGCAGCGCATCAAAGCAAACAACGTGCGCAGCTGGCTTGTACATGTATATTCCGACCATCTTGTTTTTTTTTTGGCCAACAAGCGGGTCATCTCCTGCGGAGAACCACATGTACATCTAAATCAAATTTCGGACTCGGACTCGTAAGCATGTTCTCCTTGGCATGGGAAACAGCAGTCTGTACGTTGCTTTTGCCCGCAACGGTGCTTCACGTTTTCTCGGCGCAGAGATCACACACACACACACCTCTGTTTAATTGGCTTTCTTTCATTCTTTCCCTTGTTGTTGTTTTTTTATTTGGCAGCGCATAACAGGCACAGCAACGGACACAGCTGCTCAGCTGTGGCGGCGTTTTGAGCTGTGAATGCTGAAGCTAGATGCGCAAAGTAGGCCCTGACCCGTTTTTCTTGCCTGATCCCGTGCCACGACGACTCATTGTGGCGCCGAATCTTGATGCGAGCTTGGCATAGGAAGATGGTGCGCGCCCTTGTGCTCGCCCTACTCCTCACTTGCCAGGCCATAAAGGCGCAATGGATTGCAGGTGGTAGCCCGACCATGTACTGCGAATCTCCTGAAGTTTATGGTGGGGTTCGCATTCATCTCGCAGGATACAACGCGTCCTTGGCACCTAGCATCACGAACCAATACTACGCCAACTACAATGCGTTTTTTGATTATGACAACTATCTGCAACAAGCAGGCAACATTGGAGACTCGACTTGGTCATCACCCATATTGTCTCTGAGCGACGTGCGCGGCGTGGCCCTGGAAGGCCACGTATCTGTTATCACAGTGTCTGTCAAGTTTGCCGCACCCGGATCAGCATATGATCAGCCTGATTTTTTCCGTGTCACCCTTGTATTTCTGGGCGGTGAGCAGCAGAATTTGGAAACTAGTGATGTCCTGTATGTCACTGGAGCAACTTCTGGTGGCATTATTACTATGCAGACGCCTATCAACGGCTTGGAGCTGGGGGTGGACCGGAACTCGAATGTGCTCAAATTTACGAGCACCTTTTCGCTTCATGCCGACACCGAGTTTATGAGGGTGGATTATGACTTTGGTACAACGCATCGAGATGAGTACTTTCTGTTTGGCGATCTTGTCGTACTAGGCTGTGACACAGGCGCCGATTGTGATCAGTGTCCTGAGGGGTCGGAGCTTAACGCCGAGCGCAGTGGCTGTGACACTTGCGCTGCTGGTAGCTATCGCTCGGCTGGAATGAACGAGTGTGCCGTGTGCGCGGACGGCACCGAGCCGTCAGGAAACCTAGCGTCGTGTGTGCCGTGTTCAGGAGCTGCATATCGTGATGCATTGAGCATGGACCAGTGTGCGGCGTGCCCCGTGGGCTCAGAGCCCAACTCGGAGCGCAGTGGCTGTGACACGTGTGCTGCTGGTAGCTATCGCTCGGCTGGAATGAACGAGTGTGCCGTGTGCGCGGACGGCACCGAGCCGTCAGGCGACCAAGCGTCGTGCGTGCCGTGTTCAGGAGCCGGGTATCGTGATACATCGAGCATGGACCAGTGTGCGGCCTGCGCCGTGGGGTCAGAGCCCAACTCGGAGCGCAGTGGCTGTGACACGTGTGTCGCTGGTAGCTATCGCTCGGCTGGAATGAACGGGTGTGCCGTGTGCGCTGATGGCACGGAACCGTCAGGAAGCCAAGCGTCGTGTGTGTCGTGTACAGGAGCCGAATATCGCGATGCGTCGAGCATGGACCAGTGTGCGGCGTGCCCCGTGGGCTCAGAGCCCAACTCGGAGCGCAGTGGCTGTGACATGTGTGCTGCTGGTAGCTATCGCTCGGCTGGCATGAACGGGTGTGCCGTGTGCGCTGATGGCACGGAACCGTCAGGAAGCCAAGCGTCGTGTGTGCCGTGTTCAGGAGCCGCATATCGTGATGCATCGAGCATGGACCAGTGTGCGGCGTGCCCCGTGGGATCAGAACCCAACTCGGAGCGCAGTGGCTGTGACATGTGTGCTGCTGGTAGCTATCGCTCGGCCGGAATGGACGGGTGTGCTGTGTTCACAGACAACAACGTCCCGACGACTGATGATGCAAATCACCATAGTTCCAAAAAGCCTCGTCAAACAGGGCTGGTTGCTGCTGGTGCCAGTGGTGGTATCGTGCTGTTGGTCATTGGTTTGGCTTTGCTCGTTTACTTTTGTAGGCGCAGGACGAAAGCGACCTCAGTGGGTTCGGAGAATATTTACGACCTTTTCGAAGTGCACGATAAAGATGTGTGGGAATTTGAGAGGCACAATTTATGGATTGGCCCAAAGCTGGGGAATGGTGCCTTTGGTGAGGTGTTTCAAGCCTGGATTGCACATCAGTCCGCAGATGGAAAGCAAGCTTGTGCTGCCAAACGACTTCCACCTGGTGCATCATACGAAGCTCATCAGGACTTTCGGGCCGAGCTGGCCCTGATGAAGGAGCTGGGCACACATCCTAACGTGATTGGCCTTGTTGGGCACTGTTTTCAGGACGAGCCACCCATTTTACTGGTCGAGCTGGCCGAGTTAGGGAACCTTCGGGACCTTTTGCGCAAGGGCCGGGCCTCTGAAGGTCGTGCTCAGTCACATTCTGTTGGACAGTTGATCGAGTTCTGCCGTCAGATTGTGAATGGCATGGCTTTTCTGGAACAAAACGACGTCATCCATCGAGACCTTGCCGCTCGAAATGTACGAAGACATCGCTTGGCCAAGTTTGAGTTCAAGCACCTGTGTGTAGGCTGAGCAAAGCACCAACCACAGCGTTGCGCCCGTGCGTTTTGCGTGCCGACACAAGGCTCATCTGTGTCGAAACATGACTATGTAGGTGCTGGTGGACCAACAGATGACGTGCAAGGTCAGTGACTTTGGTCTGGCAAGGACGCTGGATGGTGAGCAATACACAACAACCACCACCAGGCTCCCTGTAAAGTGGATGGCCCCAGAGAGCTTGGGGAGACGAATTTACACGACGAAATCCGACGGTACGTCCAGGCTAACCTCATGTCCTTTTGTTGTTGTGATGAATGTGATCTGCCTCAGAGGATTGTCTGTGTGTCAACCTTAGTCTGGGCCTTTGGAGTGACCATGTGGGAGATCTTCTCGTTGGGGGGAACCCCGTATCAGGAGTACCGCAATGCTCACATTTTGAACCTGCTGGAGTCTGGCTATCGTCTTCCTGTGCCAATGCAAATGCCATCAAAGGCACACGGGATCATGCAGCAATGTTGGTCGATGGAAGCCGAAGAACGACCGGCCTTTGCAGAGCTCATCGGATCGTTCACGGGCTGGCGCTCCGAGTCCCTTGGCTGTGCGAATAACGGTGAAGTTTTGTATGAGACAATTGCTGATGTGCAGGAGGCGCTTGAGGACCTTGGTCTCCACGCCCCTGCCCATGGTTTCATCAGCGGCGCTCAGCCTTCAGTCAGAAAATTACCCAAAGCCCAAGCCGCATTCGATGTCGTGCTCAATCAGCGGGACGCCGACGAAATGACTGAGGTTGGTTGACTGCTCTTTTGCAAAGTCTGTGTTGCATGAGTTATAGACGGACCCGGCAGCTTGGCAAGGGAAACAGTAGCAAGCCTTGCTTTTGCCAACACCTCTGAGGGGTTATCGGCAGAGAGTCTCATGACGGCTACGGTGTTGCTGCTTTGCTTTTATTATTTACATGTTAATCTCTGCAGGCACCTTGGGTGGAAAACAAGACGTTTCGCGGCAATGCGGACTGTTTGCCTCAGTTGCATGGCAGCCCTGCCGTAGCGCAGGCTCCAATGGATCACCACAGGGTTGGTGGCCATGCCCATACTGCACTCGCACGGCATGATCCCACTTGAAAGTGTGGCAACATGTTTCCCACTTCATCGCCTATTCGATCGTCTCGGAATAGGCACCAGCAAACAATCAGGTTCTGTTCCGTGTCAACGACATTTATGATAACGAGCTTGGTCTTGGTCAGCAAATGATTGAAGTATGTTGCAAAAAGGGACCATCCAGTGTGGCGCTACGCGTAGCGCCACCGCTGCGACACCAGCACCTTTACGACAACGAAGACGGCTGTGGCCAGATGTTATCTGAGGTCTGTCTCAAATGTCATTGATCCCATCAAGTGCATCAAAGCGCGCCTGCCGATCTTGTCGTAGCCACTTTCGAGCTTACAAGCGAATATGACCTCCGGTAGGGGCCACATTTTGGATGTTCGGGCGAGTCGCTCTTGTAACACAGGCACATATGAGCCCGGTGGTGCAGGAGACAGAGGCTTTGCAAATTCCTATTTCCGGTCCCGTCAGAACGAGGATCGACCAGAAACCAAGGGCTACCGCACCCGTGATACAAACTTTTAGTTTGCTGTGTCTGCAACGTGGCCCGCAGCAGCGCTGATGAGTGTGCCCAAAGCAAGAATGACTGACGCATTCTCCGTTATGCTTGATTGTAAATGACCGCAAAGAATTCCCTCTCTACTGAAAAAAGAAAAAAAAAAAGAAAACCTGTGTACAGAACGTGTGAAGCCAATTGAGTCTGCAGTGGCGCATCTTCTCGCTCTGAGCAGCGTCGCCCAGCAGGTGCTCCTGGGCCAAACGCCGTGATGGGAGCGTTACAGAGACCCATGTTGCATGCGTTTTTGTCGTTGATAAAATCAAAACGCTGCTTCTCACAGCTCACCTCACGTGGTGGTATTTGCCTTTGCAAGATTCTGTGCCATTGGGAGTTTCGATACCGCTCTTTCGGAGAAAGCGTTGGATTTCGCTACCAAAAGCATCACGTTCTCAAATGACGACCCAAACTACCCAATCTTTACCCAAGTCTTTCCAACCGCGTGAAGAATTTTCCGTGTAAAGCCCACTAATGTTTGGTGTAAGAGCCTTCTCATCGACCCAAAACAGAGCATGTATACCAACCATGACAGATATAGTGACAAAATCCCACAACGTTTAGATGCACAAGCCCAAGCCAAGCCTCATCACAATCCAGTCGCGTTTAGGCAGAGAGCACATTCAGCACACATCCACACACAGACGCATTTCATTCCCGAATGGGAAGCGCCGCAGGTCAAGCGAGGCACACTTTCCTCGCCAGACACAGCATTTGGACCCCGGGTTTGCGCTGATATCCAGACCTCTGGGTGTGGCGTCAACTGGCGTCTCGCCTTGTCGTGTGGATGACGGGCTGCTTTCAAACTGGCTGGCTATAACGGTAAGCGCAGGAACATGCTCTCGCCAAGCCAACTCTGGCAGCGAGGGAAAGGTCAGAGGGGCGCTGTTCAAGGCGAGCAAGCGGCGGCCCAGTGTCTGCTCCCTGTCTTTCGTCTCCCCATTGCCCTCGCGCGTTTGCTCGCCCGCCCACCGTTGCTGTTTTTTTTCGGACCCCCTTCCCTCCCGTCCGTCATTTGCCTCATTCCGCTGTCCCGCGCTGTTTTTCCCATCTGTAAGCAAGGCGCTCTGCAAGGCTCCCGACCCAGGGCCATGGCGGCCGTGCAGGCGCCGCTCGTGCAGGCAGTGGCCTTCGTGTTGGCCATCAGCAGCTTAGCCCAGGCCACGCTCATATGGAACCCGAATACGCGCTACTTCTTCCGGTTCGTCATGGCGCTGAGGCTGCGTCTGAGCTGATGCATGGTGTTTTTTTTTTTTTTTTTTTTTTTTTTTTTTTTTTTTTTTTGAACCCACCTTCCTCGGTGCTCTGTCGACCCTTGGCCGACGGCATGTTGATGATGATTCATGTATGCTAGAGGCACTTCGACCGCGCGATGGTCCGCCGAGTCGTCCCAGCGTTCCACCGAGCACCTATCAGGCTATCAATCTTTGACTTATGCGGTTTGTGCTTCACCCCTTATCTGTCCGTTCTGTTTGTCACACCTCTGGTCCTCACGCGGCCACGCCATTCTTGTTTAGTTTGAGCTGACGACGCTCGACGCGGAGGCTCAGGCGCAACTCAACTTGGGCAACTTGGTTTGCGCAACCTCACACCCGAGCGTCATGGCCATCAATGTCACGCAAGTACACGTTGCGAGCCATGGTACGCCCCCCCCCCCCCGCTCGGTTCACAGCCCTGTGTTTTGTTAAGCTCTAAGTACACGCTGACCGATGCTTTGCCTCTGCATCAGCGCAAGAGGACCAGATGTTTCGCCCAGAGTCTCTGAAAATCTGGTTAGCCCACTTGTCTTGCCTACGTTGGCGCTCGCCTGTATTCGTGACATATTATTTCGGGCCTAAGCGTGGCCTGATGTGACCTGCTTCCTCTGTTAGGCTGGCTTTCGCTCAGTGCCAAGACGGCCGCGTTGCCCGTGTGTTTTATGAGCCCCAAGACCAAGCTATCCACAGCACCCTGCCAGGCAACATCATAGCCACTCTGGCAGGTACTCTTCATCGAGGCGATGGCATGGGACAGCACAACTACACTGCCTTTGAAGACCATCATGGTACGGCATCTTGCTCCGAGCCAACTGCCCGCACGCCCTTTATCTTCGTAGTCCACTGGCCCCCCTCATCTCGCTTCACCTCGCTTGGATGTGCACAGATGCCTACGCCAACTACCGCACGTTGGTGGACAACGGGGAATACCACCACGAGTGCCGTCTGGAAAACCACATCCCTCACGCCCGAATGGCGACCTCCGTCAAGGTTGGTGGAATAGAGCCCTCACATCGCCCATCGACATCGCTCCTGTCGATGTATCCTGACAAAGACATGCGTCGATGGCAGACCCACGTTGTGCATGCTGATGGCCGTCTCCTTCGAGTACATGGCAATGATAATTACCTCTTTGAAGGCATGGAGCAACAAGGTTTGGACTGAGCCTGTTTGCAATATTCCACGGGTTATTTCTGCGAGCCTGATCCATGACAGCTTACCTAATCTCCTTGCTATTGACTTGAACAATTACCGAATCCCCATCTGTCAGGAACGGCCGCACACGCCACTCGCGCCGACGGCCAACCCGAGAATTTGTTTGAACAGCAGCGCTTCAGTGCTGGTCCTCATGGCTACGACGCCAAGTCAACATTGACCAATGACAAGGGTATGTCGTGTTACCCCCTCGTCCCGCTTCCCCATGCATCACAAAAGCAATGAACTTTAACCGTCGTTTGCTTCCATGGCATCTCTCTCAGGAAACCTCTTTGGTGCGTTTGCGGCGGACGATCACGAGCACGTCGTACACAATGGTTATGCCAGTGATGACACGTCCTCTCACAACTCCGAGGTAAATTTCCTCTGGGCCGTTCACAATCATTTGTATAATTTTATCGGACGCCTCACAACATTGCAAACACGCCTGTAGGGCGAGTTTAACATGGTATTGATGACGACCTCGCCTGCGAGCCATGTTATGGTCCCCCCTGGTCTGGACAGCAGCTCCCTGCGCGATTTTCTTGCCCTGCAGGTACAGAACTCACGTCACCCGAACAAGATTGTCCAACACACACCCCATTGTCACGTATCTGCATAAAAGGCTTATGGTGCCCACCCCACTTCATTGTGATATTTCTAATGATGCAACTAGCTGCCGGCACACGAAGAAGAAGAGTCGCCGCTTTTGCACGCCAGCCTGGTGTGCTTGGAACAATCTGCCGAAGGCGGTGTGTAGACCGGCGATCGCCTCATGACTCTGGATCCCGTTGAAATCTGCTCTGTCTCCAATTTCGCTGACCCACGTTGCCTTTAGACTCTCCTGTTCGGCCCAAGCGCATGGACTGCATCCAAGAGCTGCGACGGGCACTCCGCGAGCTTCCTATTGATGTTCGTGTGTGACACTTTCTGATCGTTTGTGTGTTCTCGCATGATTCGACCCAACTTACGAGTTCTATCTGCTCACTTCATGCACGACCCACAGGACATTCGCGGCGTGGTCGTGGAAACCATCCGTGACTATAGTGATGCCACGGCCACGGCGCTTGTGTACCAAGTCGTAACGGATCTGAAGGGTGGCGTTGATCTTGCCATTCAATACATGTTATTGGACTTGCTTCCGTTCAATCAGACGCAGCACGCCATTGCAGCTCTGGCTTTTGCTCAAGGTCCCTGCCACTCTTGCCTACAGTTTTTGCAAGAGGTGTGCTACGAGCCCAAGGAGCTTCCCCTCTCCCTCCAGAACGAAGACATTCGCGAAGGCGCTCTGCTCGCCCTGGGCGCTGTGCTATCACGCTTCCCCGCTGAGGAAGCCCATCAGCATGTCGGCCGCCTCGAGGGTTTGCTCGAACAAACGCAGCTCGAGTATCATCCTGAGGCGCGCCTTCGTCGCCATACCATCCACCACGACCATCGCCCGAGTGTATTGGCCGCACTTGGCAACACCAGACACCAGCGAGGTAATGACGCCTTGATTCGACATGCCCTCACGGCTCGAAACGACACCGACCCATCCATTGCAAACTCCATTCGTCATTACGCCATCGCCTCGTTGGCCCAGCTCAAGGACCCGGCGGGCATGAGCACTCTGCGCCGCATTGCTCTCGAGGATTCCTCCCTCGAACATCGCATCGCTGCACTGCGGTCGCACATCATGCATGCCAACGAATCAGACCACGAGACTCTCCTTAATGACTACGCACGCCGCGCCAATGAGCAACAAGACGAATATCACATGCGCATGGAGCGCCGTGAAGCCTCTGATGACGAGATCTTTCCTGAAGAGGAATACTACTGCTACCTGCATGACATTGAGCCTGGCCGTTGTAAAAATAAGTTTGCCTCACTTTCACGCAGCGAGCGCCTGGCTTACGCTGCAGAGATGGACTCGGACCCTTCTTTCAGTCCACGCCTGCGGCGCGCTTCATCCTCCAGTGCAGAGGCAAAGAGCGAAGCCGGCGTCCGAGACGGGGTTTTCACCACCGATCTCAACCTCAAGTTGTCGTATGGCTTCAAAATAGGCTCTGAAGCCGTGGGTGGGGGCTTTACTTCGACTGGCGAGCTGAAGCTTTACGTCTATGCAGATGGCTACTCACTCGATGTCTTGCTGCGAGCTGTCGGCGAGTGTAAAGCCTACTTTCAGGTTGGCTTTTTCGGCATCAATGTCAACGTGCTGCACGTGTTTGCTGGTTATGCTCTCTCTGCCGGTTACGACAAGAGCATTCTCAAGGGTATGTTCGACGTTAACCAGCGCACCAAGGACTTTAACAAACTTGTTGAAGTGATTGACGATTTGGGCGCGGGGTTTGAATCCTTTGCCGACTACGCCAGCACCATCTTCTCTACCGGTGATGACATGGTCTCCGGCCTTGATGGTGCTTGCCGGGCCAACGTCCAGCCTGTGATCACCCGTTTCAGCAATTTCACGGACACCCTCATCAATTTTCGACCCCTTAAAGTGGCGGGCAGGGCTGAGCAAACCAAGAAACTTTTTGAAATCGGCATCCCGCACCTGCGTAGTATCACAGGTGGACTGGCTGATAAGTGTGCAGCCATTGATGATTTGTTTGGCAAGTATTGGCCCACCAATTCTTCGACCCTCAAGCAATCCATCAGTGATATTTTCGACCAAATTGCCCTGCTTGACGAATGTGGCCCTGCAGCGGCGGCCTCAATCTTCTCCGAAATCCAACAAGTCCAACTGGCCATCGGCAACATTACCACGGCATTTTTTGACTTTATGGGCGCTTTGCAACTGGATGGCTCTCCGCTCCCAGAGTGGATCGACCCCGTTTCTCGGGCCAACACGGCTTTCATTGACCAATATGATGCGGCTGTGAAAGAGCTGAAGGAGCTCACCTCTGTGGTGTGCGAGCCCAACTCCACCGCTCCCGCTTGCGTGTCCTACTCCGCAAGTCAACTCGAAGAAGCCAAAGAACTGCTTGCCCTTCTGCAAGAAGACACCAGCTTTAACGATCTGCTCAAGCCTATCCAGGCCGTGTATCAAGTGGTAATGGGCGCCATTACCACCATGAATAACATTGCTGATGTGGCTGACACGATTCACGAAGTCGCGGCCAAACTATACGAGGCCTACATCCGCTTCAAAACTCCCAAGGTGCACAGCCTCTTTCCAGATACAGTCAAAGGCAATGATCAGTGTGGCTCTGGGGAGTACCCTGCCAACGAGCTTTTAGGGGCCGAGAACACCGACTCGTCGCTGTGGCCCGATGGTATCGGTCTTTCTGTGAAGTTGAGCCCGATGTGTGACAAAAAATGTCTCAAGAATCTTGAAAAGACCCCGGCACGCTTCAACAAGGGCAAATCGGGCATCAAGAAAAAGGGCTCAAGCTCCAAAAAGACAAGCCCGCCTTCTGCCCCAACCAAAGCGCAACGATACTACGTGCCTGCCCCGTACGATGGTAGCATTGTCGTTGTGCGCGGGGATTCGGTCGCAATTAAACCTAGCAAGGACGTGGGTGCCTATTTCTGGATCTCAAACGTCAAACTCATCCCTGGCATTGTGAAGGGATCCAAACTTCGGGCTGGACAAACTATCGCTGAAGCTCTCGAACCAAAGGATAGCGCATGCGGTCGATTCGTTCATTTTGCCGCCACCAAGTCAGAAGATGGCGAGGACCCGCTGGATCCACGTCGCTTCTTGCCCTTTAACCCTCTTGCCGGCTTGTTCGACAAAACACTGGACCTCGTCTTTCTCAAAGTGCTAGACTTCACGCTGTTCCAAGGCACGGTTGGCGAGGCAGCAAGTGCTGCAAAGGACTTTCCTGGCAAGACCAAAAGGAAATCAGAAAAGTCTTCACGACGCCGTCGTAGTGCCGCTGCTGAGCGCTGGGCGAATTTGACGGTCGCGTCTGATCGCACCGAGGTTGACTCACTGGTTTGGGTGCCCGATCATGACGCTGATGACGATGAGATCATCGATGTTGGAGAGTACGATATGGTTTACTTGACGCGCGACGGCGCGGTGCCCGTTGGCGCGCAACGACAGCGTCGTGCATCGAGCTGCAACGATTTGGACTCGCCCGAAGACGTCTGCATTTCCGGAAACCTGTACGTTCCGCGTTTGTTTCTGTTCTTTCATATTTTTTATTTCTTGTTCCAGTTTTGGCTCTGGTTTGGGTTTGGTCTTCTTTTCGTTGTCATACTTGACTGATGACCCAACCCTTCGTCCAGGGGCCCGTTTACTTCGACCATGACGGTTTTCCAAATGCAGACTCGGTTTATCAGTACGTATGACCATGGCAAAGTGGCACCATGTTCTCGAAACTTCACAACGCTCAAGTACTTGGTTTGTCTTGCCGTGCACATTAGTCGGAGGTGTACTTCCCATCACAATTCGCGGCGAGGTTCTTTTCGAGGGTGGCATGAGCTTTGGTCTGCGGTTTTGCTTCATGTCAACCACAATAACACGTAGGTGGTGTGTGGTTTTACGCTTTTCAGGTTTTTCTTTCCTCTTTCTGGGGGGTTCGGTTTTTTGAAAAGAATCTCATGGCTATACTGACCCACTGCAGCAATCATTACACCGCAGTTCAACTTTCAAGTCGCCATCAGTCTTGCGGTATGTCTGCTGTTTTGTTTTCATGTCAACAGAAAGGACTCGCATCTTTTTTTTCATCTGGTTTGATTGTGTAGATCGGCGAATGTATGGTGCTCTGTGGTGGTCTGACGCTTCGAGGCACCATTGCCGATATTCGTCTTCCGATTTCGCGTCCTGTGCAATACTTCGTACGTCGGTTCATCCTCACTTACTCGACTAATGGGTGAAGATTTGGTACCCATCTTGACGTAACCTGCATGCTTGTCTTAGGCCTTTCCATACGAGAAATGCACTGTTGTGGACATGATCTTGATTCCATTGAGCATCTCATGCGAAGCCTTTGCGGAGGTGTGAAGGCCCTTTTTGAGTTGGTAACGCAAACTGCTTGTGCTGATCCTTGGTCGCGCCCTGCTTCTTGTAGACGATATTCAGCACCATTTTCCGAGCGACGCTCTTCTCCTTCTCAGCCGCAGCAATCGAGAAGAATTTGATAAGGACTTGCAGCAGTGAAGTTGACGAGTCTGGCCCTTTATTCGCGCAAACCAGTTGTGTCATCAATCAGACTATCGGAGAGGATGTTGAGGTGGGTTGTCATGTCTTGTAGCTTTCACTGGCATGCATCTTGTCAAGAGTTGTAACGTCACCTGTTTAACATAAAGATTTTCCTCCATATAGGTGCCGTACCTTGCCATATACTTTCAAAGCTATGAGGCTGAGTCAGCTGTAGACAAGATCTTTGTTTCGGTCGGCTACAGCAAGGATGGTACGGAAGTGTTGAATAATAGAGAATTTGACAAGGACACGACCAAGGTACCCCTGGAGTCGGTTCCCGTGGATGAAAACAAGATTGTCTTTGCCAAAGTGGTGTCGCAAAATACTTTTGGTGTCAGTTCGACCCAGTACTGCCAAACTGCGACAAGATACGATGTCACACCACCTACTCTCAGTATTACAAACGTACGTCATGCTGACACGCCCAACATAAAGCTTGCTATCCTATGATGTGACATTTTTGTCTCACGTCTCTCGTATTTGGGTCAATTGGACGTCACAGGACTACACGATTCAAAGCCACGACGAGCGTATCATTGGGGGATGGACGGCTGACGATTTGTCTCCGCTGGTTCTCCTCGAAATTTCTGCTGGTTTGCAGCCTGCTCTTCCCGTGTTGGGAGACGGGCAGGGCGCTGACCTTGTGTCGTGGACCAACCGTCTGCATACTTCGCGCTCCGGCAACCTGGACTTTGCCACAGAACGCAAGCTGCGACATAACGAGATTGTCTACCTCAACATCCGGTCCAGTGACGACAAGCTTCTCCTTTCCACGTCGCAGGACAGAGGCATTGTAGTGGACCTCACGCCTCCTGAGCCACCAATTGTGTATGATGAAGCACGCTGTGATGACAGTGCAGGCACAACCTCCAACAATCTGCCCCGTAGTATTCGCACCCAAGCCTGTGACCAGCACCGTAACGAGCTTGTCTATCATGCGTGTGAGGCTGCTGAAGTCTTGGACGAGGTTGCATCGTCGATCGGATCTCGCTGCGCAGCTGACGATGTCACACCCCATGACAATCACCTCATCTTACACGACGCGATGGGGTCAATTGATGGTACGTGTGCGCCGCAAGTTGCTTCTTCCGCTACCCTGCTCAGACTAACTTTGTGACACAAAACTAGGCGCCTTTATCAGCAACCATCGCACATATCAGCGCTTTCAGGATTTTGTGGAGTTTGGCTGGGACCCCGCTATTGACCCAGAGACACAGTTGTATGCCACTTTGTGGGCTGTCGGCACACAGCCCTGTGGTACTGATGTAATCCCGTGGCGCCACTCCGATGGTCGTGCGGCTGGGCAACATGGTCTCGATCTTCGCGAAGGCGACTACTACCAGTCGCTGTACTTTTTCAACTCGGTCATTTTTGGTGGGCCCATGTCCACACTAGCATGCCAAACCATTCCACTGAAGGTTGATGTAACACCGCCTTCGATCGTCGAGTTAAAGGCCACCGTGGGCTCCACCCAAGGCTCTCTCGCGTTCAACATCACTGCATGGGACAAAGGATCCGGCCTAGCGGCCCACCGAGTTGCACTGGGTGTGCTCCCGGTTGACGCATCGCTGGTTCCCTTTGGTGGAGACATTCATCAGCATCCGCAATTTGAATACAGCTTTGGCAAACTTCCCGATGGTGTCTACATTTACCCACAGCTGGAGACGTTTGACTTGGTTAATCTCTTTGCTCGCGTCGGCAGTAACGAACCTTTGTATTTCGATACAACACGTAAGTCAGCTCTGCCCGCCGCGGCTTCGTCTGTGTCTTTCAACGCAACACATGCATTTGCTGATGCATCAACTCCTTTTGCAGCTCCGCTGGCTGGTGAAGTTCAGGATGGCTCTCAAGTTGAGCAAGACTTATCGTTTACCAACGATCCCTCCGTGGTGGGCGTCAATTTTGCTGACTTTCGTGACCCGGATACCGGCATCTCGTCGTACTGGTTCGTGATTTCTCGACCCGTCATTCTGTTGACGCTTTTTATTTTTATTGACATGTTATTTATTTTTCTGTTTTCTTTTCTTTTCTTTTCCCTATGGATTTTAAATTCACTTCTGTGTCTTGTCGGATGTATGACACATCATCACGCTTTAGGTGGATCGTCCGAGCCGGATATCTCACCAAAACTGGTTGGGTGTTCAATCCAAACGGCGACGTGATTGTAAACCAGTCCCTACCGTTTTATGCTGCGGCGGGTCGAGTTGAGCTCGCGGAGCCTCTCACCCATGCGACTCGCTATTATTCGACCATTACAGCTTATCACGGCGGCTTGGATCTTCTCAGCGTTTCGGCTCGCTCTGATGGTTTCATGGTGGATCTGACGTGCCCAATTGCTTCCCCGGGACGTCGCAACGAGCTTCAAATTTTGACAAGCACCGCCCTGGCCGACTGCGTTTGCATTGCCAACAGCGACGCCAGTGCATGCCCGGCCGCCTCGTCGGGCTATCTACGCGACGGGCTTTCTGCCGACTGGACATTAAAGGCTGGCCAAGTCGCGGATTGGACGTACTCATCGTCACTCCATTCTTACCGCATGTCCTTTACGGGCTTCTCGGACCCGGAATCCTCCATTGCGCGTCTGGAGGTCGCAATTGGCAGTCGCTCAGGCTCGGTTGTGGATCCCGAAGCTTTCTTGGATTTTGCAGACATTGATGTTACTGCCACCACTTTTGTTACGGAACGCATGTCCTTTGCCGACGGCGCTCATGTTATCGGCGCAGTGCGGGCAACTAACGGAGCAGGCATCAGCACAGTTGCTTTTACGGATGGTCTTATCATCGACGCCACGCCTCCGGTGCTGCTGTACGCTGTCGACGGCGAGGTGGCATCTAATCAAAATGAGGCCGAAGACTCGCAGCACTGGGTGTCGGGGTCGGGCAGGCTCGAACAATCGTTCGCTTCCGTAGACCCGCACTCGGGGGTGGCACGCGTCGAAATCACGCTTTATCGTTTTGTTGGCTCTGCGCCAGCTCTGGAACTACTGTCGACCACAACCCGGGTTACTGGCCAGAGTTCGCAAAGCCATCATGACCCCAATGGTCTCGTCATCGAGCTCACCACTCGATTAGACGGTGGTGTTGACATTCACTCATCCATTGATTTTGCCAATTTGCCTGTCATCAGTGATGGCGCGACACTTGCAGCCCGTGTACGAGTATACAACAACGTTGGACTGAAGACCCAGCGCTACACGAGCGGTGTGCGCATCGACTCATCACCGCCAGTCATTTCAGACGGGCCGGCTTTGGGGTTCGCGAACAATATTGCCGACAGCCGGCGGGATGCTGCAGGCTTTGTCTTGGTGGAAACGCCCGACACGCTTCAGGCCTATTGGACGGTCATTGACTTGCAGTCAGGCGTAGCTGGCTGTTATCTCAGAGCAGGAACTCTACCTGCCACCCAATCCGAAGCTGCAAAGAGCGACCCAGCCAGCGCAACCTTCACACCAATGGCACAATTTAGCAGCGGGGGCATTGCTACAACTGAGCTTTCACGCTCGACGTTGATGCTGACATCCCCGCTCACTACAGACCAATACTATCAGCTTGAGCTCACCTGTCACAATGGCGCGGGCCTCTCCAGCAGTGCGCGATCAGAGCCTTTCCGCATGCCGGATGAAGATCGCATCGGTACAGTCGTGGATGGCCCGACCGTCAGCTTTGATGTGGAGATTCAGAGCCATCTCCAGGTGGCTGGGCACTTTTATGGCTTTGCATCCGAGCTATGTGGCGGCATCCACAGTTACACGTGGGGCCTCGGTACAAGCCCATATGAGACTGACGTAGTCCCGCTTACGGATGAGGAGATCCTGGTACAAGGGACGGAGGGCGTGTTTGTCGCTTCCCTCCCAATCGATGATTTACAAGGGCAACAGCTGTACGCACTGGTGCGAGCCAAGACGCTGTGTCGCCACCACGTCTCCAATGACCACCCTGGAGTGGAGGGGGCGTTTGGTCAGCATTTCTTGGACGCCGTGTCGTCTGGCTTTCGTGTCTATCTCGACTCTTCCACGCCAGACTCCGTATCATTGTCCGTGGATACAAACCAGACCCAAGTCTTAGAGCGTCAGCTCGAAGCCAATGTATGGTCGCCCATCACCATGTCGGCTGGCGTGGTCGCACGTCATTATACGTTGACCGCCACTTCGGAAGACGGCAGCAGGACGAGCACCTACAAGCTCACGTTAAGCCCTCCAATGGAGGACGTTGTGCGTGTGCACGTTTTGGACGAAAATGTTGATGTGTTGAGCTATGAGAGCTTTGGAGTTCGACAATTGAAGGCCACCCTGCCATTCGAACAAGATCGCATCACTCTTAGCATCGATGTGGCTCACGGCGAGCCCGTCTTTGTCAACGGTTCGTTTTTGAGTCTCAAATGGTTTCACTTCACTCCGTTTGCCGTGAAGGACATTGGAGTCTTTGTCTCGCATGTGGCGCTGTTGTGATCTGGATCGTGGCCACCCTGTTACTCTTCTTCATCATCGCTTGCTTATGTTTTCTTGACGGCATGGCTATGAAGCGCGTCTGCACAACTCATCCCTCACGTATTGCCCTGCTGTTAATAGATGGCGCTTCAACTTTCTCCGTGCAAACCACCAGCAGCCGGGCTTTTCCCCTTTCCACTGTTAACGACGATACTCTTTTGACCTTTTGGCGAGGCGAACAGATTTTGCTAGAATTGGTAGTCGTCCGCGAGAAGGTTGAACTGCCGACAGAAGTTCAGCTCGTCCACGATGGGGTGCCCCACTCTATAGGCTTGGCAGACGCAGCCGCGACGATCAATATTCCGTACCAAGTGCGCGTTTTCGAGCTTTCCTTCCCTCACAATAGCCACACCTGGGAGTGCAGCGGTGGTAATCTTCAGTTGACAGTGCAACCGGATGTTCCAGTCTCAGTTTCGATGCCGACGACCCTCTCACAGCTTGTGCTTACTTGCAACTTGTTTGACCACGACCTAAGCTTGGAGTTGACGGTCAACGTGGCCATGCCCACCATTACAGCTGAAAGCTTCAGTGTGTCCGCCACTGATGAGCTCACCAGATCACTATCGGTCGTGGCTACAACAACCGGCGGAGGCAATTCCTGGACGACCGTCATCTCAGCGCCCAGCTCCATAACTCTTCTGGCCGTTCAGGTCGATGGTCATGCGGTTGTGGTGGAGGACGTACAAGGCCAGGCCATGCATACGAGCATCGTGTTTGTGCTGGATCGATCCGCAGGAGCCCGCACATTCAATCTGTATAGTGGGGCTGCGATGGCGACGCTCACAGTAGAGGTGCAATCTCTGCCTCCCTCGACCGACACCTGTCTGCGCCAGCTAGACATCAATGGCTTGACAGCCATCGATCCCTGTGCCGACGAGGGCCTTGCTACAATTGCTCTGGACGCAGATGCACTGACGCTGGCAATCGCACCAAACCATCCGTTTGTTTCCATCACCTTGTCAGTTCATGATACGATCAATGGTGTTCTTTTGGAAGCCTCCAGCAGCTTTACCTCGCTTGCCAAACGTACGTGGAGTGCCCCCTTGCCGGAAGGCATCCAAGGCAATTCCGGCTACCAGGGCATGGTGTTGACCATTGCGGTACAGGCTGAGGATGGCACAACTCAGCAGGAAATGGTGTATGGATTGCACATGGCCACTGTGAGTACAGATGCTACCTTGCCACACGTGGCGGTGGCTGCTTTGCACAAGGGTACCACTGCCAATTGGCAGGTGGAGGTGGAAACAGCCGCCCGCTACGTGGCCATTTCTGTACCATTTGACACTGATACCATCGTGATTAACTTTCCTGTTGCGGCCACTTCTACCTGGAGGGCGGTCATTGATGGCAATGCCACATACGATGGAACGGCAGCAACGGAATTGGCGCTTCCGCGTCATGTCGATAACACGGCTTCCGAAGTTGGCTTGACTGTTACTGCGCAAGCAGGTAACTCAGAGAGCTACCGCATCGTGTTTAACCGTCACGAGGCCACGCCCACTGCCACAACGATGCTCCTCGAAACTCATAGTCTGCCAACGACAGAGGACATTATGATTCCTTGTGGGCAGACGACTGTGGACGTAAGCGCTCAAGGTCAAGACCCTTTTGACTTTGTGCAGGTGGCCACTGCAAGCGGCGTGCTGATGACCAACGTCTACCCCAATAGCACGACCAACTTAGGCCTCGAGTTTGCGTCGGGAAGCAGCAACCTCACGCTTTCGCGGCGTGTGGGTACAGTGTTTGAGTCACGCACATCAGCCATTGTGCGCCTGCGTGTGCCTCATCCGTCATCCGTGTTCAAAAAGCTTGAACTCCATTGCAATCAGGGCTCATCTTGGGATCTTTTATCCTCCTTTGGCCTCTTTATGGCCGATGCCAAGACGAGCATTACTGTTCCTGCGCTGTGCTCAGAGTGGACACTTGTGACTTCGCCGAACAAAGATTACGCTCCCGTGCTCACGGCAGAGTGGGCTGGCCGACAACTTTCTACCAGCAAACATGGCAACGTGTGGTTCTTGCCCCTGCCCGACGACGATCTCAACCAACTTGAAATCAGCATTGCACATGCTTGCTTTGAAGTTCTTCTTACGGTCAACGTGGCGCGAGAAGCGCCCAGTTCTGATCTGAATATCTCAAGTATTGATGTTCGAACAAGCAAGGGCATGCTGATGAAGCTCGACAAAGACCAATCTGAGCACACCATTGCTGTAGCCACACATCAAGGCCTTGAAGTTCGTGTCCAGTCCCCACATGATTTGCGCTTAACCATGATGGAGACTGTGGCAGCGCGTTTGGGTTTCACCAATTTGGCCTCAGCCCTTGCCACCTGGTCCGAGTCCACAGGCGATAGTTTAACCGTGCTCGGCAATGTCTCCTGCCCAACTGGACTGTCACTGAAATCTGGCGTTTTTGAAACGGAGCTTGGATGCTGGGAAGTCAGTCCAGCACGCGTCCCCCTTGATGAGGCAGAATCCTCACGCTCATTCTCAGTCTCTGCGCTACACCCGAATATTCTGGGGCTTAGCTCGGATTCGGTATCTTCAGCCACATTGGTTCGAGATGTCACAAGCCCAATCGCTGATAATGCAGATATGAATTGTGAGTTTGATTCGGACAGTTCGCAGCTTTCTTGCAGTTGGCAAGGCATCTTTGACGAAGAAACGCGGATCCAGGTCCAGGCTCTTATGGTCGGCTCGCAGCCGGGTATCGCGGATCGTGTTCCTGCGGTGGATTGCGGCTCCGCAACCCGAGTCAGCGTCTTTGTCAAGGAGTGGGTTCAAGGCGATCTACTTCACCCATCTCTCTTGGCCTTTAATGAGCTTGGCGAGAGTGTGCTGTTGTTTGCTCACCCGGTCATGGTCGATGCCGTTCCGCCAACTCCTCCCTCAGAGCTCTGGTTTGTCCCGCGCTTGCATGACGCGATAGCTGCGGAACTGGCACAAGCCTTCTCATATAGTCAGAGTTACAACGCTGGCGAAGTGGTAGCATACCAGGGCACATTCTATGAAGCCCGTGTCACCGTTCCAGAGGGCGCAGGTCGACCCGATGCCAGCCACTTGTGGACCCGTCTGGATGCCACGGCATGCTATCTTCTTGAGGATGCTTTGGTGATGCGCTGGAGCAACGACACCACGGAGGCCATTAGTTTTTCGGTTGGCTTGGGCAGTACTTCTTCCACGCCAGATATTGCGCACTGGCGTCCAGTCCCTCTCGATCGCACATCGGCAGTTTTTCCAGGCGTGAACGCAGCAGCTGGTAGCGAAGTTTATGGCTTGGTCCGAGTCGAGGATCACTCGGGACAGGTTGTGATCACATCAACCTCAGCTCCCTTGATTGTCACAACTTTCAAACCCAATTTGGCTCTTGCAGATGGCCCAAACCAAAACGACGTTGATACTTGGACACAATTTGACCGGGTGTATGCTTCCTGGTCTTTGCTCGGCGTCTGCGAGCCCCAATCAATCACCCTCCGCTTGTTGAGGTTTGTACTGGCATGCAGATGCGCTGGAGCTGCATCGCTATCCGCTCCTTCGATGCTCACTTTGACCTGACCACGCTTTACCATATTACTTTGCAGATCTGACGGGCTTTTGGTGAGTGAAGATATCATTTGGGATCTTGAAATGGATGAAACAGCCCCAGAGCAGTATGCCGTGACCAATCTATATCATATGGAGCCCAATGGCGAACAGCGAGAGGGTTTGCAGAGCAGTCGACGATATTTCTTTGAGCTTGAGATTCAGGACCAATTTTCGGTCAATCGCAACATGCGATCAGATGGTGAGTTTAGAAAGTGGTGTGGCTGATTGGCTGTCTTCTTAGCTTCGACTTGATAATTTGTTTTCATGCCATAGGATTTCGCTACCTGGACTCCAGCCCAGATGTTGGCCCGATCATGGATGGTATCATGGACTATGATATGGACTATCAAGAAGATGCCCATGAATTCAAGGCCACCTGGCACACATGTGTCCAGCGCAACGACAAAGACTGCTTCGGTTCATACGAAGTTCCTATCATCCGGTACGTTTTGGCACACTTCGACCTTTCTGTGATTGGCGATCATCAGGTCAAATCGGTCCGCTCGGCTCTTTTTACGCATATGTGTTCTCACTCACCCCACCCTTTCTTTTGTTTTATTTTCTTTTTTATGCCGTGGCAATGCTTGTGAATGTGTCTCCAAAGGTATGAAGTCGCATTTGGGACGGGAACAAGCGAGAGCAACCTGGACAATTTGCTACCGTTTACGTCTGTCGGGCTGGCCACGAGCTATACGTGGAGAAGCACCACACCCATTGCAAGCAACACCACCGTCTACGCTAGTATCCGTGCCTTCAGCGCTGAGACCTTGTACGCCACCACTACTTCCGACGGCATTATCGGTGGCTTGAACAAGTCCATCTCCACGCCTCTTCTCTTTTTGAACCGCAGTGCATGGTTTTCCGACACCAGCAGTGCGCTTCTTGTGTCCTGGGATGAACCAGAATCAGCCGTTCCACTCAGTCAGCTGGAGCTGGTTGTGAGCTCTTCCGGTCTACCAGCCTGGACGAAGCGCATTGAGCTGGACCCTTCTCTGACCACCCATATCATCAAAGACATCTCAGCCTTGCGTCATCTTGATACACTTCAGGTCCGCCTTACGGCCCACAACTTTGCTCTTGGTCAATCCACGGGCGAAGTGGCAGCCAAGGTTGATCTCATTGCCCCCACGCCGGGTACCTTGCAACCAGTAACGGATGGTGCTTCAGCAGAGGATCTTGTTTGGTATGCAACTGAGGGGAGTGTGTTTGTGACTGTATCTGGTACTTTTGATGCAGACAGTGGTGTGGCTGAACAGGCGGCGGCTCTGGTTGAAGCTGATCGTCAAGCCTGTTCTTTGTCGACACTCAGCTGTGCAGAGCTAGCTGCTACTGTGACCGAGGACGACTTTACGACGCTCGGCAATTTGAGTGCCTCTTTCAATCTGCTCGCGCTGGAATCAGACATTGATGGCACTGCCGAGGCTCTACGTACCATTGTGCGCATTCGCGATGCTGCGGGCTTGCGAGCTTTTGTGTGCTCGCCTCTCATCATTGTAGATCAGACACCGCCCCGGGCTGGTGCCGTCATCATTGGGACTGAGATTACCTCCATGGCGACACCGTTTCTCAAGAAGGTAGATGATATCAACTTGACTGTTGCCCTGGCACACCCACCGGCCGATTCCGAATGCAGTCTGAGCACGGCTTTGGCGACTTTGGTGCCGGTTGTCGTTAATACGAGCGTTCGCTGTGGAGTTGATTTGTCCCGTTGCACGCTGGAGCGGTTTGCAGTACTGAATCGTGCCTACACATTACCACGATTATATAATGCTCGGGCTCGCCCAACAAGCTCCAACGCCTGGCGCATGAGCAGCTCGGTTGTATTTCGAAAAGCTTTCTTTGGCAGCGCGTTGGCCTTTGCGCCTGCGGCTCCGGTGATGGGTTCATACTCGGTCGATCTCATTCTTCCGTCTCGCGTGGGCATCAGCGTTGATCTTGCCTTTACAACTGACGTCAACCATTTTTCGCCGCCGCTGATAAGCGTAAACAATGCGGACGAGGATGCTGACATCTTTTACAACGGCCCAAGCGGTTATGGTATGCAGGCAAGCTGCATCGAGGAAACTGACACAGGTTGCATTCTCTCTGTTGCGCTGTGGTCATCAAGCAGCGACGAGAAGTCAGCTATTGGGTTGACCTTGTCAAACGTTCTCAACTTTAAGCTTGAGTTGTCTCTTCAAGAAACTATTTCTGGCGTGGGTGTGATGACCCTGCTGATTGATGGCCGACAGCTCGTTACCAAGCAAGATTTTGAACTGCTTGCATCTTCTACGCTCATTGTCGGTGCCATGCCTGATTCTCGCTTGATGACGGATGAGACTGTTCTGGACATTGTTGATGAAATAGTGATTCGTGAGCTGCAAACGCCCATCGCTGCCACCTCAGCCGTGTGCGGGGACGAGCGCTACTATGCTGATCAGGAGAGCCCGATATTGGCCATGAGCTATGGTATTGTCGATGCTCGCAATGACACCGTGGACGCATCACAACTTGTGCCTTTGTCTCAGGTCCCGTGCATGCCTTGCAATACCGACTACGCTTGCAGCAGCGACCTCTGTGATCCAGATTGTGATCTGAATGACGCGATTGTATTTGACGGCTTGATTACTGGTCTATCTCCTGGCAGACAAACATACTTCTGCAAAGAGGCCGAGTACAAGGGAGCATGTCATGCCAGCTGCCCGGATAACACCTATCGAGACACTCGGGGTGTGTGCCAGGATTGCCATGCCCAGTGTGCTGACAACTGCTACGGACCTTTTGCCGACCAATGCTTCTCCTGTGAGAACCTTCAACACGGTCGCATGTGCGTGGAAGCGTGTCCCAATGGAACGTACGCCAGTGCGGAGGGCGTGTGTCGCGATTGCGACTTGTCTTGTGATGGCTCTTGCTCGGGACCTACTCAGTGGGAGTGCGAGTCCTGTTTCACTGGCATGCGAGTGGCGAGCCGTGGGGACGTAGTCTGTCACTCAGAGGTGGCTTGTCCCGATGACAGCGCACCAATGAATATGTCTGACGTGTCTGCTCATTTTTCACGCTTGGGTGGGCTGGACAGTCTGTGGTTGAACCGGTTTGAAGCGACCGCAACTTTGGATGAATTTTGCTTCCCCTGCCATGAACAGTGCTTGGATGGCTGCACAGGTCCCTTAGCCTCGGATTGCATCTCATGCCAGGGCCCATATCTGACTACAAGCAATGGCATCACCTGTGTGCCCGAGTGTCCGGCGCGCTTCTTTGAGAACAGCACCACGCTTGAGTGCCAGGCTTGTCATGAGCGCTGTGACGGCCTCTGCACCGGCCCTGACGAAGACCAATGCGTCAATTGCCCGCGTTTTGCCTTGAGCACAGGTGGCTGTGTCAATGCCTGCCCAAGTGACACGTATCCAGGCTCGAACGGCGTGTGCTACCCGTGCGCATGCAACGCAGGCGCAGTGGGGGGTCTTGTGGCCGGATTTGATCTGCCCTCGCGTCATTTCCCAGATGATTTGGATTGTGGCAACGGCACGGCCGGCAACTTGATGGTGGTGCATGATTTGGTGATGGCCGGATCACTTGCCTGCTATGTAGGAGAGCAGAGTCACTTTGATGGGCTTGTCAGTCGCGGTCTTCTGATTGACGGCACCAGCCCACCTGTAGAGCTGCAAGGCACCACTGAAAATGTCAATGCCACCGTGCTTTTGGAAACGCTGGACGGTCGACGTCGCATGGTTCGCTTATTCTTCCACCGTGCGCCAGCATCCAACAACTCCCTTGTGAATGAGCTCTTTGTGGCGGCTGACACTGCTTTCGTGGAGAGCAATGACGCTGAGGACCTGACATACCTTGATTCATCGCCGGCTTTTGATGGCAAGCTCGCTTTCGAGTATGAAGTGACAGTCGCATACGCAACGCGCCGCCTGAAACTTGCCTGGTTTACCGATGTGTTTGCCACCGTCAGTGTTGTGCCTTTTGCTCGTGTCAACTCCACCTGGGGGCATCACGCGGCCGTATTTGAGACGACCGGCACAAGTGGCGTTGTTCAGTTGCTGGTCACTAGCGAAGATCAGGCAACAATGACCACATACACGATTCGCTGGACACGAACGCCACCCTCAATTGAAGACCGACTAGCCTCCCTCGCAGTGGAGTCGGTGGAACAGAATGGCGTAGGTCAGATTCTGACCTTGTCGCCTGTTTGGCACTCGAATCGCGGCAACTACGTCATCACACTGCCGCATGCCGCTGCGGCACTGACGCTAAATATGAGTGTATACGATAGCTCGGGCGCCCGGGTGTTTGTTGCGGGGCAGCTTGTGGAGGGACTCTCCGTACAGGTGCCCACACCAAGTGGCCCGTCCCAACCCACTTCTATCGTCATCAGCGTCCAAGCGGAAGATTTGACCGTACCACCCCGCAGCTACACGCTCTTCCTGACTCGTGGCAACCCTTCCACGACTGTGGCTTTGTCTAATTTTGAAGTGTCTGCACACCGACACGTGACCGTGTCTGCGATTGGAAGCACGCGCAATGTGACGCTTTCGCCCGTAGAAACGCAGCTGACTCTGACGAGCTTGACCGCGATCGGACCTCATGCAACGCTCGACATATCCGTACCGGCGCCCGCCTCGCATGAGTGGACGGGCGATGGCGCGGTGTTGATTACGGGACTGACAGCGGCAACAAACACCATAACAATCACTGCATGGGCCCAGGATGGGGTCACTTCCAGTGTGAGCACCTTGTTTGTGCAACGCGTTGTGGAAACTTCACTAGCCAAGGATTACTCGATTGAAGGCTTGACGGTTATTGATCAGCTATGCTCCGATGGGGCTGGTTGCCATGTCAATGTATCGCGCACAACACGAACAGTGTCACTGCGGGTGGTTGCTTCATCTGAGCACTTTTATCTCAGAATTTCCAACGCGATTGGCTGTACTGCCAGTCTGCAAGAATGGAACGAGCTTGGCATTGTTTTTGCTCAGCGCTCAGCAACGTGCTCTGTGATGACAGAGTTTTGCAACTCTGGTGACGTGTGCACGGCTATGCCCATAACTGTGGAAGTGCATGGAGCTGCTTGGTCGCAAATGATGGTCAACGTGAACGTGACTGATGCTCACGGCAAGGCACAAACGGCCATTTTGAATGGTGTGGGCAATAGTACTACAATCTACGTGGACCAACCGTCGGGCCCTTTTACTGTACTGGTCGAAGCCATGGATGAGTTCATCACGGTGGGGGATTCTGGTGCTGCCCTTGTGACCACGGCCACAAGCCCGCTTCAACTGTCGGCTTACGATGCTGTCCGTGGAACAAACGAGGTGCAAGAGCTTGTTTTTGCCATTGCACGCGGCAACAAGCCTTGCATGAAGGCGCTGATGATGCAAGTATCTGCCGAACGCGCTGTGGCTGTCAACACCTCTCGGGCGTACCCGGAAGGCGTACAACTGCCTGTCAACACCAGCCAGGTCAGCATAAGCTATGAGCTGCAAGATCCGGCCTGCCAGGTCCTCATCGAGCAGCTTGTGACCACTGATGATGTCACCGTGACTCAAGTTGTGAGTGAAAACGGCGCTTCGTTCCAGGTCGACATCCCCGTGATAGGATCGGTGATGCTTTCATTCACAGACACAGTCAATAACCAAACAATTTCGGCAACGATGGACATTCAGGCTGACTTTGTAAGTCAAGAGCCTTTGATTCGAGACGTTGTGCCGCTTGAGGTACCTGCCCAGCTGGTGGACGTCGTGAAATTGCCTGGTGTTGTGGATCCACTTGCACAATTGCACGATGCCAATCCCCGCTTTGGGGATGACATTCATGTGACCGTGCCACACTCATATGACAACGTCTCTCTGCTTGTTCGTGTGGATGAGGGTGTGCGTACCTGGTGGACGTTTGACGCTCTGCCTCGACCCATGCCTAACTTTATGCCTGCGGTCAATGACACTTTGAGTGGCAATTGCAAGGTGGTGAGCGGTTATGGTCAGATGTCACTTGAAGGGCGCATTGGTTCTTGGCCTTTGGAAGTACTTTTGGCGGACCTTGCCTCGATTTTGGTCGCCACCAACGTGACAACGTTGCAAAATGTGACAGTAACTCATAACGTGACTACTAATGCAACGACCGTGGAGCAAGAGGTGTCAATTCGAGCCAACATAACGACGCTTGAGTGGCAAATTCCAATGTATGACGCTGTTAGCAAACAATTCCGACGCGCCGATGGCAGCGTAGTTGCCGTTGACGAACTATTTATCAACTCACCAGTGACCCCTTTGCTCATGGAGCAAAATTCTTCGACTGCTTGGTGTGTCGGTAGCCTCGCGCGTGATTGCACGACGTGCCCCGCGGGGACCATGCGTGCTGCCTTTGGCCATGCGTGTGTCGCGTCCTGCGCTTACGACGCAATTCTTGTTGATGACGCATGCCAGTCATGTCACTACAACTGCTTGGGTGGGTGCACGGGCCTTACTGCCAGTGACTGCTCGCCAGTATGCACGCAAGCCTTTTCAACGACGACAACTACTACCACGACCACCACGATCTCCATCTCTCCTTCGGCACAAGCCTCCTGTCCACGTTGTCGCGTAGCTGAGCTCAACGGAACATGCCTTGATACGGACTGCCCCCCGGGCTACTACAAGGAAGAATACACGCTACGCTGCTTGGCCTGTCACGAGCAGTGTGCCAGTGCCTTGTCCTGCAGTGGCCCGATGCCCTCTGACTGCCAGCTTTGCGCGGCCAACACAACAGCAAAGGATGTTGACAGCGAAGATGCCGCGACCGTGGCGCTGGAATCCTTGCGTGAATGCGTGACGAATTGTCCAAACCTGACCTATGTGGCACCTGGCGGTCAGTGCCGGGCTTGTCACGAAAACTGTCTGTACGGATGTTCGGGACCGACTAAGACGGAATGTTTGATTGACCCGAGCCGTAACGTGACCCATGGGTGCCGTGCTGTTGACTACGATGGCTCGTGTGAGGCTGTTTGCCCCATCACTCACTTCTCAAACAACACCACCTGTGCGCCATGTCACCCCGAGTGCCAGGGTTTGGGCTGTGGTGGGCCCTCAATTGACAACTGCTTGTTCACGGAAACGTCTGGTCAGCAACGCAATGAGAACAGCACGACAATCACCTTCTTTGCACCTGCCAGCTATCGATTTGCCATCGCCATGCAAAACGCCGCTGGGCTTACCTCGGTATCGCTGAGCCCTGCCACCACCATTGACCTTACTGCGCCTTCCTTTGTGGGAGTAGTTCGCTTCGTTGATCGTGGTTATCGCAACCGCCCCATCGAAGCCCTTCGAACCTCCAGCGAAGTATATTTCCGCTTTAGTGTGTTTGAGCTCGAAAGCCCAGTGGTTCAGGTGGATTGGCGCCTTGAGATAAGCGGCGTTGCCCGAGCTCGGGGCAGTGTGGATCTGGATGCTGACTTTATGGGCGGTACTTTGGTCGCTAACGCCGCCAATCTGACGCTGGCTCAAGGCGATTCGGTTGCGGTTCATTTGTTCGCGACTAATGCCGCTGGTCTCGTTGCTGAGACCACCAGCAACGCCATTTCGGTTGACTTGACACCGCCCATTATGGATTCTTTTGTGATGACGGCACAGTCCGCGGCTATGGACCAAATTGCAGTCGGTGCGGAGACTTTGCCGGCGTACGCCTTGAACACCAGCTATGAGGTCAGAAATTTTGCTGTGCTTTGACTTTCCGCCTGCCCTGACATTTCTGAACCATACCAATGCAACTGTGTCCTCACTTTGATGCGCATGCCTGTAGCTCAAATTTGTAGGCCACGACGAGGAAACCCAATTGTTTTCCTACTGTACGTAACTTGCTGTCTTGGCTGTGACCTTTTGAAGTTGCAGAGAAAATGTGTTGTTTGGCCGAATTCGGCTCACATTAAAATTCGATTTCAATGCTATAGATGTGGGAGTCGGCACAAGCATGACCACTATGGATGTTTCACCTTGGCGTGCCGCGAACAGTCCATGTGCCATTGACGAACCTGAATTGACGGCCGTTGTTTCTCTATCTGGTTTGGACCTGAGCCCCAAGTGTGGATCTCCTCTGGATCAAACCAATTGGGCAGATCATGGCCAATTTGAGACCTTGCCGCTTCCTCTGGCCACCCGACTGTACATTTGCGTGCGCCTTTCAAACATCGGAGGCTTGCTATCGACGGCCTGTTCACAGCCTTTCCTTGTCCTTCGCGGAGATGGTAGGTTGCGGATGTTGCGGTGATTGGTTGTCGTGATTTCGTGCGGTGCTTTATCATTTGTCAGTCTTGACGCTGCGCTGTTGTGCACTCATACCTCGCATGTCAATCATTTTTATCCAACACAGAAACGATTGTTAATCAACCCGTCAGCGACAATAACAACTCGGTCAGATTTGATATTGGAGCCAACGCCGATGCGCGCCGCCGGCGCGATGCTGCTATCCAGACCATTTTATTGGACACGCCTGATGCTGGCTTTTTGTCCAACATGTCACTTATTTCAATTCCTCATGATGTGGACGAGGTGCAAACAATTCTGGACAGCAACAGCCTGGACCCTTTGACCTTGGAAGAGTCCAAGTTCTCGTTGACCTCCTTCATGCATCCAATCAATGACACCTTGACAGAAGGTCGTTGGGCATCAACCCCGATTGGTCTTAGCCTTGGTCTATCAATCACGCTTGCATCGGGAGATGTACCTCTGCCAAACGGTGCGTTCCTTTCAAATAAATCGTGTCCTCTTACCATCGCCGCACCGCACCGCTCGATGTTGCAGTGTGCATTCTGACTTGACTTGACTATTGTTGCGTAGGTCCGTGGGTGATTCGGGCCAACGTCCCAAATTTGCCTGCCGACGAACACTTTGAATGGTTCGCCTGGAATTTGTACTTTCAAGCATGGTTGCCCGTCGGAGCGAGCTACTGCAACGTTTCGCCACCAGAGAGCAATGTGGCAGACGAGTATATCACTCAAGTGCGTATTTTTTTTTCTGCCCTCGCTGCTCTGTGTAGACCACACAGTCCCCAAAAGTTCTCACTTGCTTCATGTGATGTCCTTGGTGTGTAGCTCTGTTCGCCGACGCAGCATGAGGCCGAAGTCAGTTTGCGCGTGATGATGGGGGACTGCGATGTTTCGGGTGGGGCCCATTGTCAACATGTACCCTTTGAAGCCGCTTCCAAGGCAGACTGTGAGGCAGTTCTTGAGGCCATTTTTGGAGTCACCACGGCCTCACTGAATCAGTCGACGCTGTCCACTTTGGTTAATACATCCAATTTGATGGCACGGCACGGGTTCAATGCCTCGATGAGCAATGTCTCTGCCACCTCCTGCCGACCCTATATTCTGCGAGGTCCCGACACCTCCATTCACCTGTCACTCAATTCGTACGATCCAAGCGCGCACTGCCATGCACCAATGGCATCAACAGAGGCGCTTTTTGTGCGTGAGGATGACTTCATCTGGCACCCCATTGCATTGAACTTGAGTGATGTCGACGGTGACACATTGATTGTGTCTGTGGACACGGTACCTAGCAAAGGCACCGTCCGATATGATGATGGTACTGAAGCATGGTACTACATGAGCAATCCCTACCGCAATGGTGCTGATTCCCTGACGTTCCGCATTCATGAAGCCACCTTTGATGCTTACGGTTTGCTCAACCCATGCACGCATATTGTCAGTGATGTGTTGATGAAGGTTGACGTCTTTATTGAGCAGGTCAATGACCGACCAATCTTGCAGGTCGACAATACGTCAGTAGTGAGTGTAGGAGGCGATCTCCGTCTTGAAGAGGATGTGGTTTACGTGCTCAACCTGATGACTGATGAGGATGAGGAAATCTCGTTTGATGTCACGGTGGTCGAGTATGATGAGGGTGATACCATGGATCTGGTTCTTCTCGAACCTTTGGCCAGCGACGCCGAGATTGTGGACGAAGCTGCCCGAGGCACGTTTTCTATGGTCGAAGTGGCCCGTCGTGTGGTGGGTGTAGCCTCTACCATCACTCTGCGTGTGACTTATTCACCACCTCACAACTGGCCCCGTCCTACTAATACCACGGGCGTGGAAACGACAGTCCTTGCTATTCGTGATTCCTTTGCTGAAGACCCCCTGACTTCAGAGCAAAGTATTGAGCTGCGAGTTCTGGTTCGTGAAGTCAACGACGCTCCGGTAGCCCGCAGTGTACGCTGGCTTCTCAATGATTTCAACACGAGCGTCATCGTGCCGGTGACTGACATTGAGTGGTCCTTGACCAACCTTTCACTGGAACTGATCAGTCTGAGCCATGACCATGCCCAAGCCCACGCCGGCTTGATTTCCGATTGTTCTGCTCTTGAGAACCTTGAGTATAAGCGGCGGGTGGTGTTGAATGCTACAATGGAGAACGCGAGTCTTCCTGTACATCTGGCTGACTTCACATCCGCTAACCGCTCGCTGTGGGTTGTGGCAAACGAGCGCACCATCACGTTGGAGGGATCCTTGAACGGCACGCGCTCATCGGATGTGCTCGCCTTGCGCGTCCACGATCAAGATTATTGCACTTTTGCGATTGTTTACATGGAACCTGCAAGCTCAGCAGCAAGCCGTGCGATATGGAGTATTGTCACGAATAGCATGAACCTCATGTTCGTTTTAATAGCAGCAATCGTGCTGAGTCGCCGTGAACTCCATCGCTACTGGCATGCCAAGAACCAGCTCTTGAAACAAGTGCGTTTGGAAGGCGATTATCGTATACCAGAAGAAGTTGAGCTGCAAATGCAGCGCACACGTACATTGATCCATGCGGCCGGGGCGCTGCTGCTAGCCTTGTTTGTTCTCAGTCTGTGCGCAGCATCAGTTGATCTGGGGCTTGGGGCCAACGTATCGCTTACAGTCTTGGTGCCATTGTCCGTCATCTTGATTTTTGTGCTGATGATTTGGCACCTTCGATCTGCGTCACGCTTACTAAATGACGAAATCCGAGCAGCAGTAGAACTTGAGCTTTATAACCGCACCGTTCGTGACCGAGTTCTTGGCCTGTGGGCTTCGCGCTCTGGTCTTGATGACGCCAAGCCCGTGGCTCACTCAGGCAACAAGATTTTCAAGTGTGCATCTTGTGGCATCATCTACCCAACGGTGGCTGCCTTGGCAGCACACTTCCGTTTCTTGCATGAGCGCAACTTTGAGTTGACTGTTGCGGGCAAGCGGCGCATCCGGAACGAAGTCTTGGATGTCAAGGCGCTGGATGTAACGTTGCGAATTCTGCGGTTGTGGCGTCAAAACGCTCGCAAATCGGCCATTCTGCGGCGCGCACAACTGCCAAAACACTTGCCATCTACCTTGCCCTCTGTGCGAGGACTGAGCGTTGCCCCTTCAGTTGACTATACAGCACTTCGAAACATGTTGGTGACCGACACCGATGCGGATGGGATAACCTGGGTTCAATCGCCCGTCCGCCGAACACGTCGACTTTCTCACAGCTCAAGCAAGGGGCGTTTGGACTCGGTGACCTCGCGGCAAGAGGAAAACCGAGACGAGGCCGCAATGTCCCGCCACAATTCACGCGGATCATTTCAATTTCCTTGGTTCAGCTCACAGAGAGGCCGAGTGAGCCCGTCTCTGTCAGCCAACACGCAAGACACCTTTGCAGATGGGCCGCGAGAGGTTTGGACTCAGCGTACGCAGATGGTGCGGGCGAATCGGGATTCAGAAGACCATGGTGGTTATCTTGAGGTCGAGGATATGATGTAAATCGTGAACCTCTCTGTCTGTTGATCGTTTGTGTGAACTCGTCTTGTGCTTGGTTTGTGAGGTAGGCGTTGTGTTGCTTCGTCTCGTTCCCCTCGTGAAGGAGGCTCCGCTTGAACGGCCACCAGCTTTGCGGTTTTTACGTCCATGTGCTTGAGGGTGTTGCTGGCCCGTGTCAACACAACCCGTCTGAGCTCTGTGGCCCCGTTGTTTTTACTGTTGGTCAGCATACAGCAATTGAAATCGCCAAATTTTGACCTTCGAATGGCGTCATCGAAATGTCATGGTGCTATCTTCCCAAAAAGTCTCCCTGTTGATCCAATCACATTGTAGGGTTGTACGACTCTTTTCTATCGGGTCTCGAGTTTGTTGATCCCATTGAAGTGCGTCGCATCTGGAAATGTGACATTTTGTTCTTCTGCCAACCAATCCCTCTCTCTCTCTCTCTCTCTCTCTCTCTCTCTCTCTCTCTCTCTCTCTCTTTCTCTCTCTCTCTCTCTCTCTCTCTCTCTCTTTCTCTCTCTCTCTCTCTCTCTCTCTCTCTTTCTCTCTCTCTCTCTCTCTCTCTCTCTCTCTCTCTCTCTCT